TTTATCGTTATTAGTATGCTGACTGTTCTTGAGGATTTCTTCATAAAGTTCTAAAGCTTTGAGAAATTTGCCTTGGTCAAAAGATTCACGTGCTTCTCTTCTCATATCCTCAATATTACGCTCTGCCAAACACATTTCATTCAGAATTATATCCGAAACTGTCTCAACATTATTATCATTTTCTAAAAGTAAGATATTAATCCTATTTTCAGAAAACTCGGGAAAGCAGGCTTTCAGAAACTCTTTCGGTGATTCCAGAGAACTTTGCTCGACCTCATTATGTAGAAAATTAAGTCGTTCAATCTCATTCAAGGGAATTTCATTCCCTGTCAAAAAGATTGAGCTTGCTGTATCGGACAAAGATGAATCAGGTAAATAAAGTGAAGCTGATGTCGTGATTTGAAGTGGGTTTATATCTCGATTTAAAGAAAAGGTTTCATTATTGTTAATTGATGATTCATTAAAAATAGAATTATTCGAAGTTTCCTTGGAAATAAATTGATTTAAAAATTAACAGGATTAAATTTTTTTAGAGTTTTGAAAAGTTTTCTTGAGCTAATAGTTGGTTCATTATTTTTAATTAATTGTTTATTAGTTACCTGTTGATTTAAATCATTATCACCGAATTGTTTTAAAGTATCGAAAACATCCTTTGTTTTTGGACGATTTGCAGGATCTTTACCCCAACATCGTTTGTAAAGTTCAATATATTGAGGCGGTGTACCTTCTACAGGCTCTTCTCTATTCCCTTGTGCTATGTGGAAAACAAGCGAATATTCTGATTCAAAGGTTTGGTATGGTGGCCTACCGCTTGAAATTTCCCAAAGGATAACACCAAAACTATAAACATCGGATTTTTTATCACGTTTGTATCCTTGCTTAATAAAACATTGGGGATCGACATATGCCGGCATTCCACGAACAATCGAATTTGAAGTCATAGGTGTCTCGTTTATCTGTTTTGATAGACCAAAATCTGCGATTTTCGGTTGTTTTTGATGAATCAAAATATTCTTCGAATGCTATGAAATAATCAAAACATTAATTATTATAGTTAAAATTTACAAACTAACAATAATAATTTACGTACAAGATCTCTATGAATAATATTATTTTCATGCAAAAATAAAAGTCCAAGTGCAATTTCCTCAGCAATATGCAATTTATCTTTCCATTGTAATCTTGTAAGATTTGCTTTAAGATATTCTCGCAGAGTTCCTTCGTCAGCATATTGTAAAACCATATCAGTCACACGATTTGTCACGCAGATCATGTGTGCAAAATTTTTACTATAGGGTCAAATGATCGACGCACCTAAA